GTAGTACTTATGCTGAGCTAAAATCCATCCCTCTGCCCTTTTTATCCACTAGTGCTGTGGAGCCCATGAAGCCCTATAGAGTACATTTTTAAATAAGACGGCCCATTAGGTGGTGGAAGACAGCAATCTCAACATGCCAAAATATTGCAGGTGTCCTCAACAATTTGAGATAAAATGAGAGATGTACTTTATTGGAAAAGTTACTGTTTCCCTTTACTAAGATTATACTAAAGAATTTGAACAAAATTATACTCTATCAGAGTATCAACAGATATTTAGAATCTTTATGTAATATCTTTTACCCAACATAAATCTCAAAATAAAAATACTGGTCTTGAAACTATATGCTGTCAGGTATTTAGGAAAGCTGGATGCCAGCTACAAATTGGTTGAACGATTTGTTTTTCCTTGCCACTTTCTCATGGTTTTAATTTCCTGATCCTTTTATACTTTTGTGGTCAAAAGACCTTCACAGCTTTACATGTTTAAGGATTGGTGCAGTGAAAAGTAGATGATAGAAAGGTTCACTATATCCACAGGTGGTCTTCTGGAACCTTTTATTTTCAGCCAACCAGTGTCAACATAGCTGCTGCATATTAGTCAGTAACCTTAATAAAGTTAAGGAGTGGAGAAGCAGCACAGAGCAGTAGCAGTATCGAGTCCAAAGCCCGGCTGCCTGGGTTTGGGTCTCAACTTTGGCACTCTTTAGCTGCTTGACCTCGGCCAATTGGGGAAGCTCTGTATGCCTCGGTTTCCATAGGAGCGTTCAGAGTGAGCATGTGTGGAGGGCATTGCAGGCCATGGTGCTGTCTGTACAGATGGGAAACATATGGCTTTTCTCTCTGCTCTGACCCCAGGGTGATGGTATTAGGAGGTGGGGCCTCTGGGAAGTGATGGGGTCCTAAGGGCAGAGTCCCCATGAGAGGGGTTATTGCCCTTTTAGAGAAGGTCTCCATGGGGCTCCCTCACCACTTCCACCATGTGAGGCTACAGCAAGAGCAAGGCCACCTGTGACCCAGGAAGCTGCCCTCACCGTACACTGAATCTTGATGTCTTGATCTGGGACTTCCAGCCTCAGAACTGTGGGAAATGTGCTTCTCTTGCTACCACCTACTCAGTCTGCAGGGTTTTATGGCAGCCCGAGCAGACTTAGACACTGAGTTTGTTTAACTGTTGTCTATATTGAATTCTTCTTTTCTCCCCAGTTTAATTAGTTTTTACCTGCTTTGAACATAAAAGTTTTAAATTACATGGTTAATATATGAATATGTGCTTGTAAAAATCTCAGAGAATGCAGTAATAAGTCAGGGAATAATGTAAGCCTGTATCAGTCATCTGACTGCCTGCAACAGATAATCCAATTACTGTTGGCGTAGATGCTGAGAACACCAATTGGTTCATATAATCAGACCTCAGGGCTCTGCCTTCCTTTCTTGGGGATTCTCTGAGCTGGGCTGTCAGCCTGGGCGGTCAGCCAAAAGGGAGTGCTCAGGTCCCTGTTCAGCATGGCCGCTGCTGCCCTTGCTTGGCTCATACCACCCATGTCTGGGGGCAGGGTGACACCTGGGCCCGGGGACTGAGGCTGAGGTCCTCTGTGGAGCACCCCTGGCTCACCTCCTCCCCTCTCCTGCTCCCCTCTTTGAGCCTCTCCTAGTTGGCCACGGGAACTGAGGCACACACACAGGAAGAGAGACTTGTGTTAATGGGATTGTGTTTTGAATTATTTTTATAAATTATTTTGAAGTCTCTCCCTCACCAAAAAAAGAAATCTTAGTTGTTGAAATAAATGGCCTGAGTTGACTCGTCATAAATAGCATCTTGGGTCAGGAAAGTAAACAGCAATTTTTCTGAACAGGGTTCTATGAACATGGGCACATCCATCTTAAGACTCAGTTTTGCTGTTAGTAGCTATTTTATGAATGGCTGAATCCCTGCTGGTTTTTCTCATGCCTCTGTTGTCCGTGGATTAAAATGAAAAATCAGTCTGGAAGTTGTTCTGGCTTACAGCTCAGAGCTCTAATGACTTTTCTACTTAGTGGTTGGGCTATTTTGGGAAAATACAAAGTATATGTTGTTAATTTAATTACTTGTCATGTGAACTGAGGTTGAATTCTTTGGGGGTTTACACTTAAGCTCTTCCCTGTTTTTCATGCTCTGGCTCTCTATCCGCATTTTCAAAGGCATCTCTAATTTCATAATAGCTTGATATAAAGATTCAAGAGTGTAATAATAAACAGCTATGTATTCTGAGAAACTTGTGGTTTTTCTTCACATTCTTATTCAGTCAATGCAGATCTTCCATGGTTTAGAAGAATTTGGCCTTCAAATCTAAGTTAGGGGTACAGTATCAGTCTGCTAGGGCTGCTGTAACAAAATACCACAGACTGGGTGGATTAACAGAAATTTATGCTCTCAATTCTGGAGGCTGAAAGCCCAAGATCGAAGTGTTGGCAGGTTTGGCTTCTTCTGAGGCCTCTCTCCTTGGCTTGTAAGTGGCGTCTTCTCTCTATATCCTCCCATGGCCTTTCCGTATCCCTGGAGTCTCCCTGTGTGTTTAAAGTTTCTCTTAATTGGTTAATGGACACAAAGAATGATTATGCGTTGTAATGATGAATAAACTGTCCTCATTTAACTATTGCATATTGTATACAACTATTGATAGTCCACTTTGTACCCCACAAATATGTATAATCAATTATTCTTCAATAGCAAAATAAAAATAAATAAAAAAATAAAGTTTCTCTTATGAGGACACCAATCAGATAGGATTAGGGCCTACCCTAAAGACCTCACTGTAATTTAATCATCTTATCAACTTTAAAGACCTTACTTTCAAATACAGTTATATTCTGACGTACTGGAGATTAGGAGGTCAAACAGTCAACAGATTAAGTCCCCAGTTATGTCAGATGACACCTTTACCCTAGGCACATGTGCTGGTTGACTTGTCATCTTTTAAACTAGGACACAGGTTAACAATTTAGTCCAAGATAGAATATAAGAAAAATTGTCACATTATAGTCTCCATTTAGATAAGCTTATTGCACAGTAGGGTTTCCTATGGGAGATAAGCCTGCAAGGGATGTCGGAGCCATTGATTGCACCTTTGACGCTGTGTGTATGTTACTTGAGCACTTATGTGGGACTTCATCGCAAGGACCGTGTGTGTGTGTGTGTGTGTGTGTGTGTGTGTGTGTGTGTGTGTGTGGTTTTCTATAGAAAATCAAGTGTGTAAAGCGTCCATGAAGTTGACTTAATTTCTTCTTAGAAGAGTGATGGTTTTTATGTATTAACCTTGGAGCCTTTTAATGAGGCAGTAGAAATTGGCAATCAAAGATAAGAAACCTGAAGCTAACTGAAGATATTTTTACTTTATTGATTTCTAAGATGATTATCAAATAGATGAACAAGATGAAAAGTGATGTTAAAACATAAAAGTTATTATTTATTTTTTTTGGTGGCTGGCTGGTGTAGGGATCCAAACCCTCAACCTTGTTGTTACAAGGTGGTGCTCCAACCAACTCAGCTAACCAGCCAGCCACAATTTTTATCTTAACAAAAATGTGGTAATAGCAACCCTTTTATCTACTCTGAGTCAAGCCTTTTTTGGGTTGTATATGTGCATTGACTCATTGATTCCTCACCACAGCCCTGTTGGGGAGGTATTCTTATTTTCCCATTTCACTGAGGTCCCTGAGGCACAGGAAAGGTAAATGGTCTCCATGCTTAGTCTGCCGGTAAATGGTGGAGCCAAGACAGGACACAGGTACTCGGGCTTCCAGTGCCCATACCCACCTACCACGTGCTCTGCCCAGAAATGTCACTACTCTCTGCAGTGACTTGACATTGTTATGTGATTTGGGGGAGGTTTCTTTTTAGGTTCACGATAGCAAAATAAGCAAATATGTTAATGGCCCACATCAGTTCCCAGTGATTTAAGATCAATATAAAAGCAATTTGGGAAATGGTTTTGCTTAAAGTAAGAGGATCCTCTGAGTATAGGAATTTTGGCCATCTATATTGAAAGGTTCTTTTTTAGCTTATGTATAATACTGTTATACTATCGTTTTATGAGAACTAAGTGGAATTTTTAGTTCTGTTAAAGCTAAGAGAGCTGAATTAAAAATTGAGTGTGCATTGTAAAGTCACACACACTGGATCCATAACTGGCATCTGCCCCTAGCCAGGTTTGGGCGCTGAACGTACTCACCTCTCAACCCTCACTTTTCTTGTCTGTGATTAGGGGAGGGGGTCGGTTCTTTTCCTCCCAGAAGTTTTGGTGAGGACTAATGAGAGGGTGCCTGCCAGGTGCCTTGCAAAAATCTTGGCTCCTCTGGCATTTGGATGAACACCGAGTTTGTTTCAGTGGAGAAGTTGGTGTTATCATTCCCGATGTCCTTTCTGCATGGAGTTTTTGGGTGTTCTCTTGAAGCTGAAGAAAGCAGTGGTCGTGGGGTCAGCAGAGCAGCTGGGGCTCAGCCAGCTCCATCTCTCCTTAGCTTCGTGGCCTCGGGCAGGTTACTCACCTTTTCTGATCCTCATTCTCCTCATGGGGAAAAGTAAACCCCCCTCATGGCAGTGTTGTAATGGTAGGTTTGATCACGTGTCAAGCTCTGGGTTTTCTTCAGACTAGTTATTTGAAGGTACAGAACAATCTTGATTTGTGATGTCATTTTACTAAATACAAGTACAATTGTGTGTCGCTTAACGACACGTATACATTCTGAGAAGTGTGTTGTTAGGTGGTTTTGTCCTTGTGCAAGCATCACAGAGTGTACTTACACAAGCCTTCTTACCACACACCTAGACTGTATGGCATAGCCGTTATAATCTCAGCGCATCACTGTCATATATGCAGCTTGACATTGACAGAAATGTCATTATATGGCACATGACTGTATAAAATTATATGAAAATACCAATTTAATAAGCTTTAGAGCCAGTTTTGACTGTATTCACCTGAAAATGTGGTAACTGATTTCTCTTTATTTCTATTGTAGGTGCTGGAGATCAGAATTTATTTACTTCTATTTATCCGACGCTTTCCCAGCAGCTTCCCCGAGAACCGATGGAGTGGAGAAGGTATGGGGTGTTTGTCGGGCTGTGTGCTACTCTTTGTCTTTCAGACATTTATGTGAGCAAGTGAAGTAGTATAAGCTAAAAACTTAGTTCTAAGGTCTGTTGGAAAGAAACAGAGTGGCACCAAATGGTTGTGAGTCTTATTCTTTAAGGAATAGGATGATTTTCTTAGTGTGACATTGGATGATAACTACAAGACAGTTCTTTTGCATTAAAGACTCACTTTTTCAGAATGATCTTGGATTTTTTATGGTTAATCAGAGTGACTTAAAGGCACAGGCATTTTGCAAAGGAGACATGTTCTCACTTAGACTGTACCTTAAAGCAGAAGACGTGGGATGTATCTTCTAACCTGCAAGAGCCCCTCTCCACCCTGAACTCCTATGCACTTTTCTCAAGAATGAGAAGGTTTACAGAAAGATGTTATTTAAATATTAGGAGAGAAAACAGAATACAAGAGAAGCCAGATCACCCATCCCAGTTGCCCTATTGTGTGTCTTTATTTGGTCATCTAGTAACTTGTTTAGAGGAAACCATTGACTGGGAATTCACGTCTCGGAAAACTTACTTCTGTTAAGGTTAGATGTTATTTGTGGGAAATGTTCAGATTTTGACTTGTCAGTACAAGTAACCTGATTTTAACCAGGGTGTATGCAGAATGCCTGTGGTCACCAGCCCATACCGTTTTGACTCCTGCAGCATCCCTCCTTCATGACCACCAGTGTGTGCTCCAGTAACATGAGGAATTAACATGGCTTTCTGGGGCCATTTCTCCAGGCTCCCTAGTGAATGTAGTCTAGTTTCTGTGCCCAATGATAGTGTCTTATAGGGTATGCATTTAATTGCTAATATTTCATATAAAGGGTGTGCAGAATGTGAGATCATTCTCTTAGAGAAACGTTGCTTAGCACGTGAGGAGTCCCCAGCTGTGAAGGAGAGAAAACAAGTCAGCAAATGGAGGTATTTAATACCTGAAGAAATGGAGTAATCTGTAAAGGATTTCAAATAAATATATATTAGTTAGACACTCAGAAAGATAAAAGGAAAAAAATATGTCCATGAAACAAGAGAGAGGATTATGAGAAAAAAGAAATAGAGAAATTGCACAGATTTAATATGCGTATTTATCTCTTCACCTTCCTAAAACCCCATGAAATGAGAGTTAAGGATGAAAAAAGCCTAAATGCACAAGGACAGGGAAAGGGGGCAGGTACAGCAGCAGCCAAGAGATCTGGACCCATTTGGGGGAGAAGGAAGACAGATGAAAGAATTGGGAAAGAAAGCTGAGAAGGTCACGTCCCATGTGTCTGCAGAGCTGGCTGCACGAGAGTAGTGAGTCTGTGACAGGTGACAAAGTACAGGACCGTGGAAGGCCAGGGCTGGGAGGGGGATTGGCAGCGGCGTGGATAGGAGAAATTAGACTCAGGGCCACCGCTCTCGTCTGTAGTGAAGTGATTGTTCTTGTCCCACCTCTGCGGGATCCTGGGGGTCTGTCTATGGACAGAGAAGCTCCAGACCCTGGGATACGAGGCACTGAAGAAGGCAGGGAGAAGTGCCATTCCAAAGCCAGCAAGGCCAGGTTCTGAACAGTGTGCAGCTCGTGTCCAAGAACTCTGTAGCCATATCCGTGCTCCCTTGGCAGGAGAGTGGAGAATTCATCTCTGGAAAACTGGATGACCCCAGAGAAAAGACTACCATGTTCTCTTTTTCAAGAAACAACAGGGGATGTGCTCCATAAACTTAGGAGAGGGAGTACATGCTAATTGGAGCAAGATGACTCTGGGCCTCGGAGGGATGTTACCAGGAAAGGAGCTTTAGTCTACCTGATGCTCGACTGTGCGGGTGGTACTCAGAGGGTTTTGCAGTTCTGTTGGAGAGCTTGGGTGGAGTTAAAAATGGTGACTCATGAGCAAAGAAAATGAAAAATGGAGGCATGTGTCCATGCCATGAAGAGCAAAGGTTATAAAGCTACTGTAATCAGTATGCTACTCAGTTCATTAGTGAATAGTGCTCTTATATTTCATAATAAGGGAAATATGAAATATGGACAGTGAAAAATTATGACATCTCATGGGAGAGTGAGAGATAGGAAGGAAGGGCACAGGCGGTTGAAGATTAGGTGTAAATTAAGTTTGGGGAGGTATAGTAGGTTGTATTGTGTCCCACAAAACATACATTTCCTTGAAACCTCAGACTATGATCTTATTTGGAATAAGGGTCTTTGTAGATGTAATTAAGGTAAGAATCTCCATATGAGATCTTCCTGGATTAGGTAGACCCTAAATCCAATGACAAGTGCCCTTATAAGAGACAGAAAGGAGAAGTCACTGAGGCACCCAGGGGGAGGCCACATGAAGATGGGGGCAGAGGTTAGAGTGATGCAGCCACAGCTTAGGAGCTCTAAGCGTTGCCAGCAGCCACCAGAAGCCAGTGGGGAGGCAAGGGACCTCCCATGCAGCTTCCAGAGAACTAGTCCTGATGGCACGTTGATTTTGAATTTCTGCCCTCCTGAAGTATGAGAGACTAAACTGCTGTTGTTTGAAGCCTCCAGGTTTGTTATAGCACATCTCGGAAATTACTACAGGAGGGGAGGTAGAGAAGGATGGGGTAGGCAACTGCTGTCATGGGGTGGGGATGTTAAAAGGTTTTTAGTATTATTTGATGTTTTAAAGTGTTTACATATTTTATAAAAAGTAAACATTAAAAATCAATGGATTAGATCTTGGAAATGAAAAAAACTGAATCAGAAACTTTACCAGATATACTGAAAGCTGTGCAGCTGAAGAGCAAATGAGCAAGTTGGACATCAGTGAGTTCAGAGACTCTGGAGGCTCTTGCCGAGAGTGCAGGAGCACGGAAGAGAGGCAGAGGCGTGGAAGGCAGACCCAAGAGGCTCAGGGCCCATCTGAAGGCATTTCAGAGCAAGACAAGAGAGGATGGGGGACGGGCAGCATTTGAAGAGCTGATGTCAGGATGTCACCAGAAGTGAGTCAGGACACTGCTGAAAGCCTAAGAGTGTCAAGCAGAATGAATAGAAAACAAGGCAGACAAAAGCCATGCCAAGAAATCACAGAGCAAAAGAGGGACCAAATGTAGCTGATGTCAGGATGTCACCAGAAGTGAGTCAGGACACTGCTGAAAGCCCAAGAGTGTCAAGCAGAATGAACAGAAAACAAGGCAGACAAAAGCCATGCCAAGAAATCACAGAGCAAAAGAGGGACCAAATGTATCATCTCTAACAGCAACATTTAAAATGAAACATGAAATGCGACATCTAACAAGTCTTCTCAAAGTACTGAGGGAAAATACCTCTGAATTTAGAATTCTGTGTAATTTGCACTATCATGCAAGATGGAAGACTAAGTCAGAGCCTCCCACCCTGAAGGTCTTGAATGAGATATGGGTGCAGAGAGATTTTGTTCCTTGTAGGCCTTGGGGTGTCAAATGGTGCCCAGGATGGCCAGTGGCCCTGCTGAGTCACGTCTAGCTGCAGAAAGCCACGTGTCTACCCCAGAGTGCCATTCAAGTGGAATTTTTTTGTGTGCTATGACATGGAGATAGTTGGGAAGTACTGCGGTAAATAAAAACATTTTCAGATGAGTATAAGATCAGAAAGCTTACTACCCTTTCTAAAATAACTAAAGGATATATCCCAGCAGGAGAAAAACGAACCTGGAATTCACAGGGTGAAAGAGCAACTGCCAGCAAACAAGTTATAAAAATATTTTGCTGAAGTCAGTCCTTTAAAAAATGTAAAAATACGGAATTTCAGATGTATGGGAAGGAGATGAGAGAGAAGAAAGGATCCTATAACTTTAGTCTTTGAAAGAAAAACTTAAGTTTATGCATATTAAAAATGAAAATGTATCGAAATTGTGGAATAAAAATAGATGGTTAAACTTTCAAACCAGGAAAAAGGAAGAAAGTTTGATTAGTCTCACAACGAACCGGAAAAGATAGCCTACAAATAGAAAGTACACAAGTTTGAGCATAAGCATAATCATGTTAAATGTGGTTGGCTTTCACCTATTAACACAGAGCATCCTTAGCCTGGATAAAAAATACATAGTCCAGCTGTAGATGTTTAAAAGAGACACAGCTACCAGAGGTAAAAAATAAAGGTGTGGAAAAAAGATGTATTTGGCATAATTCACTTTTAGAAGTAGAGTAAATAGTGTCCATATCCTCTTACAGCCTTAGATGGGATCTATGTATTGCATTGTGAGGTTTCTCTATGGGCTTTTTTTCTTGGGTTGAGGAAAAAAGGGAGGTCTGTACCAGTGTTTTATTTGTGCTCTGCAAACAAAAACCTGTTCTCTTTTACCAAATAATTTTATTTCTTGGACAATACAGATTGTCCTAAAATGAAAATTGCACTTCTGACATCTGGGAACCTCTTTTCCTCCTTTTTGGTGACTTACAGATCGAGGTACACAGCAAGGAAAACCCATTGTTCTTAGGAGTCTGTGGTGGACTTTATTAATTGAATGCTTGGGTGAATGTATTCTGTGTATATATACTTGAATAAAATGAAAGGTTTCTGGTGAGGGATATTTGACGTGTAAATGTGAACTGTATTTAAAACAGTTCGTAGACGGTTTTTGGACAGAATATAGTTATGATTCAGGGTTAATATACATGCTTCTGAACTCATAGATAGAATTACGTTATTTGTTATTGTATCTTCCCTTTTTTTTCTTGCAGAACACTGTTTAGTTGTTTTTTCAGTGACTTTTAAAAAAATTATTTGTAGGTCCTACGGCCGGGCTCCAAAGATGATTCACCTGGAATCTAACTTTGTTCAGTTCAAAGAGGAGCTGCTGCCCAAAGAAGGAAACAAGGCTCTGCTCACCTTCCCTTTTCTTCATATTTATTGGACAGAATGCTGTGTAAGTATTCACTTAGGGGAAAGAAAGTGTGTTGTAATAGGGTTAAAAATTCTTGAGTCCTGCTTTTAAGACAAGTGTGATTTTTTCAGGTTTACTCTTTAAAGTGCTCTTGACTCTTTTCTTCGTCCTCAGCCAGGTGTGTGGCTCTGTCACTGCATGGTTTTACTCTGGTCCTGGTGATCACTAAGCACAATCTTGTTTCCTGTTTTGAGTCTTCTGAGCCATCTCACTGTGCTCTTGTGCCACAAACCTTAATTAGTTTGAACTGTGTTTAGTCTTTACTTTCCATTTTGTTTTCATGATGCCTGTGTTCACCGTGATGGCACTTACTGTACTTGATCATCCTGTTGTCTCTTCTGCTCAGCGTGACCCAGTGAGTTGGGGGACCGTGTCCTCCTTCATCACCATCACAGTGCCTACCTAGGTAGCCCTCCGCGACTTGATCGAATGAGTGAATGTTAGTGTTGTAGGCATCGTAGCCTTCACTTGTATTTTGTGGTTGTGTGTCATGAACCCAGAAAAAAACTCATTCTTGACAGAATTCTTCTGTTGTGAACTAATGGACAAGTCTGTGGTCATTTCTTTCTGTGTATTTTGATTCTGGTAAAGCAAGCATTTAGCAATGTACAAAGTACATAAATCATTACACACTGCAACATTTTAGCTTAAATCTGAGGAAGCAGAAGTAGTTTTTTGTGGTTTCAGTGAGACAGAACTTTGGAAGCCTGTGCCTGGTTTCCCCCCCGACTTTGACCCCTGTTGCCTTTCTCTTTGCTGGTTTTGCTCCATATCCTTTCCCAGGGTTGGGCTTTATTCCCAGCAGTGAGTGCGATAACATGTGTGAGATGTTTTCTACCAGGCAAGCTCACTAGAGACTTGGTGCTCAGGGTTTTTATTGGGGCTGGTCACATGGGTGCCCTCTGCCCGGAATGCACCAGCATTCCGCATTCCTGGAAGGAAAGCAGGTGTTTAGCATAAACCATATTTTGTGTATAAACAGTGTAGGTTGCAGTGAGGTCCTCTTATCACAGGGTGGTGGTAAAATCCAGATTCCCAGATGCAGCCAAGGGCTACCCTCGTAAGCAGGCCTGAGAAGGATGGCCATCCCAGGCCTGCTGTGTGAGCTTTTCCCCCTGTAACCTCTCATTGGTAATGTCTGACTTGATAATTTGTTTGGGAAGTTCTCTGGTTTCTCCATGGTATGGTTACTATTTTCCCTTCACAACTAATAAGCTATCTCTAGGGAGCCACTCCAAGACCAAGTAAGTATCCTGCTCCTTGTCCGGCTTTCTCACTTAGATTTAGCATCCAGTGTGATCTTTCCTGAACTGGTCTTGACAAAGGGCTGCTAACCCTGCCAGCATTTGTCAGCCTGGCCTCTACTCTGAGGAGGAACCTGCGTGGGTTTTTGTTTATTCAGTGGGAGTGGCCAGTTACCCCTGCTTATACTGATGCTAATGTTGTCCTGCATGTGGCTAGTGAGAGCCACTTCAAGCTGGCTCCTGCATCCTTTTGAGCATTTTCTAACTTCCTGGCATAACAAGATATGCTGGGTTCTTGTAGCTTTGTTACCCTTGCCCTGGAATCAGCCTTTTCTTCACAGAGCCTGATTCCTTTGGCAGTAAGTGTGCTCCTTGCTACAGGAGTGTCACAGCTCCTCTGCCCTTTTAGTAGACAGGACTAAGAAGGGATGTGTCTTGCAGATCGTGAGTTGATGCTGATGCCTCCAGTTTTAGCCCAACCCGACGTGGCTCCTCCCTGCCTTGCCTGTTCCCTGTTTACATCTGCTCTCAGCAACATCAGCACATTTATTTATTTGCTCTGTCCTTCAACGTGCGTAAGATAGTTTCATAATTGCTACACATACCTCAACTAAAAACAAACATAGTAAGAAGAGCCAAAAAATTGGTACTTTTCCTAGACTGACAGTACATAGTCATAGTATATATTAGTGTCTGTTCGGGCTAGTCCTCCCTCTGGTTCATCCTTTTCAGTGTCTTCCTAGTTACTCTTTCATTTTTAGTTCTGGTATTTTTATTGGTATCATGATAAGTTCATAAATTACCATATACAGAACTAACATCTTAATGATGTTGAGACATCCTAACCGAGAACAAGGGATGTCTTTGTGCAAATCTACTTTTGTGTTTTGTGCTTTTTTTCATTACAGATTTTAAACATTTCTTGTTAAATTTATTTCCAAGTATATTACTTTTTTTGTTGCTATTGTAAATGGGGCCGTTGACTGATTTTCATGTTAACCTTGCTGAATTCTTTTATTGTTGAGTTAGTTTTATCATTGATTCTCTAGGCCCAAAGTCTAGGGTTTTCCAGATGCCCTTCATGTCATCTGCAAATAAACATAGTTTCACCTCTTATGCCATGAATTGTCTGATTTAGGACATTGTTCAATATTGGGGAGATAGTGGGTATCATTGCCTTGTTCTTGATGTTAGCGCGAATACCTGTAGTGTTTCCCCATTAAGTAGAATGCTCACTGTAGGACTGAGGAAAATATATGTATGATCACGTGAAGGAAGTATCCATTCCTGTTTTCTTAAGGGTTTTTACTAGGAATATGAGTTGAACTTTGTCCGAGGCTTTTTCAGACTCAATGGAGATAATCATGATTCCCTCCCTCCTTAGATCTATTAATATGAGGTATTTCAAAAAGTTTGTGGAAAACTGGAATTGAAAGATAATACGAATCTTTCCATAAACTTTTTGAAGTCTCTTGTATACTGAATTATATTAACAGGTTTCTTAATGTTAAACAGTATTTGCATTCTTGGTATAAATCCCACTTAATGTAGTATTGGAGTCTGTTCATTTAAATTTTATTTAGGAATTTTTGCATCAGTATTCACGAGTGATTGATCTGTAACTTCCGTCCTGTCTTTATCAAGGTTTAGGTATCAATATTATGATTGATTAATAAAAATGATTTGGAAGTTTTCAATTACTGTCCATTTCTCAGACAGTTTATATAGCATTGGAGCTATCTGGTCTCTAAGATTTGATGGAATTCTCCTATGAAACTACCCGGGCCTGGTACTTCCTTGTGGGATAGTTCCTTGATAACTTCTGTGTCCCTTCCATGAAAATTGATCTGTTAAGTCATTTGTCAATTTTGATAAACCCTATTTTTCTTAGAAATTATTTATTTCAGTTAGGTTTTAAAATTTGTTTTCATTGAAGTGTACGAAGTATTTATTTTGACTTTTAAAATGTGCTCAGTGTCAGTAGTTACTTCCTCATCATTATTTCTTATTTTGTATATTTGTGCTTTCTCTCTTTCTTCCTAAATTAACTTAGCCAGTAGTTTGTTGATTTTTTTTTTTTCAGAGAACCAGGTTTCTATTAATTAATCTGATTTATTGTTAGTCTGTTTTCTACCTCATTAATCTCTGCTTTCATTTTTATTATTTCCACCTTTTGTCTTATGATTTACTTTGTTCTTTTTCTAGTTTTTCTTTGAGTCTAGAATGAATTAATTTTAATTATTAAATTTTTACTGATACAAGTCTTTAAAGTTATGAAATTTTCTCTGATTACTGCTTTAAATATATCCAGGTGTTTTATCATTATTTTTCAGAAATTTTCTATTTTGTTTGTATTCCCCCCTCACCGAGTAACTGTTTAATAGAAAGTTTCCAGAAAGGAAATTTTTAAAAATTTTTATTAAAATATTTCTGGTCATATTGCATTGTGATCAGAAAGTGTTGTTTATAATATTTCTGCTTCGTGAAACTCACTTTTTTTCTGTAACCTAATAAATGATCACTTTTTGTGGATATTCCATGTAGGTTTGAGAATGTATTTTCTCTCTTTACAGATTGTAGATTGTAATGTGTTTTGTTTTGTTTTGTTTTGGCGGCTGACCGGTAACAGGGATCAAGCCCTAGACCTTAGTGTTACCAATACCACACTCTAACCAACTGAGCTAACTGGCCAGTCTGTAATGTTAAATATGTATCCATGAGATCTTTCTTATTGTTTGTGTTGTTTGGGTCATTTAAATTTAATTTTTGTTCATTGATCTATCTTTAACTGACAGTAGTATGGTAAAGTCTTCTATTATTGGTATATTTCTATTTTTCTCGCATCTTCTGTAGATTCTGCTTTGTATAGATGGTTGATGTATAATTTGGTGCACAGATATTCATAACTATTATAATTTTTATGGAGTGAAATATGTCATTTAAAAAGTGGTTTCTGGGTTAGTGTATCTTGCTTAGGAAGGCCTTGTCTATCTGAAGATAATAACTGATTTTCTCCTATATTTTCTTATAACAATTTTGTGATTTGTGTTTTTTATTTTGGTGTATATAGCTTCAAGTTGTTTTTATGTAGGTAGGAGCTGTGGAGGTTGAGGATCTAATTTTACTGTCTAATGCATAGCAAGTTGGCCTACCACCATTTCATAATAGTCTATCTTTTCTCCACTTATTGGAAATGTCACCTTTATTTTAAACCAACATCCTGTGAGCACCGTATTCTGGACACTTCAGCTCTATTGATCATTGTCTATTCTGTGCCAGAATCAGACTTTTAATTATTACATTTTAATAATATGTATTGATATCTGTTCTTTTTTTTTTTTTTTTTCCTTTTTGTCTTTTTTCGTGACCGGTAACGGGATCGCAA